CCCCAAAACCCCAAAACCCCAAAACCCCAAGCTTGGATATATTTCTCATAATTTATGAAATTAAAATTAGAAATTTTAAATTATCAGATTCAAGAAATTCAAATTCTTTTGACATCTTAGTCTTTTTAAGTGCTCTATCTTAGATCCATATTGTCATAATTAACATCAAAGATATTATTGGAATTTCTTATCTCTATTTCTCTTTCAGTAATATCTATGTAAATTAAGAATAATATTACTTACTATTTGCATATTGACTGTGATCATGGTAAGCTTTATTATAATTGCTTCCATAGTCTTCTTCTGAGTCATTGGTATTCTTTAAGTTTTATTTAGTCAAGCCATTCCTTTAGGCAATTTAAGTAGATTTACCTCGCTTTTAGTTGCTAATACTATTGCTTTACTTATCTAGATCATATTGAATATTCTGCTAAACAAGCTCCTCAACAAGTACAGCATTTCTCCAGATGCCCATTATTTTCAAATCGCCATCAATCAAAATTCCTTTTCCATTTTCTATGTCGTTTTAGAACTCCCCTATGTAGACCTTTCCATTAGGATAGATCTTCTTACCATGATCATTACAGACACCATTATCAAACAGGCCTATTATTTAAGAACCATCATTGAATTAGTAGCATCCATATCCAGTCATCGTAGATTGCTTAAAATCACCTGTATATTTATCACTATTCTAGAAGGTAGCCACTCCTTTTCCTTCCATAAAGCCAGCTTTAAATTGTCCTTCGAATAGTCCATAAGGATTTTAAAATACACCTTGACCATGCATCCTTCCTTTGCTAAAGCTACCTTTGTACTTAAACTTTGGATTAGCCCATCTGAATTCTCCTTCACCATGATATTATCCATTTTCGAAACAGCCCTCATAAATATCTCCATTAGACCAAAGTAGTTTGCCATAACCGTGAAACAAGTTGGCTTAAAATTCTCCCTTGTATACAGATTTTCCCTGATTCTTATCTATCCAGAGGAGTTTACCTTACCCATACATGCATGAGTTTCTGAATTCACCTATGTAATGTCTTCCATCAGGCCATTTAAATTCACCTTGTCCCTCTATTTTCGAATCTTTTAAATTTCCTCGATATACAAAGTACTCAGTCAATCTTGTTCCTTTAACCATATAACTAGTGCTACCACCTGCAAAGGTTCTTCGCCACTTCTTATAGCCTTTTCCATTAACTTGATTTCTATCAAAGATCCCGTGTATTTCAATCTACCCATTTCGTAATCTCTTAGTCCCAACGCCTTTCATCTCATTATTTCGCCATTATCCATCGTACTCACTACCATCAGACCATCTGAATTTTCCCGATCCGTTGAATACTCCCGCTTGTAGTTGCCCTTCATAATTTGATCCATCAATAAAAATTCTCTTTCCATACCCATGAGGCATATCGTCCATGAAATCTCCATTATAAAATGAGCCATCTTGATAATAGAAAGTTCCTTGCCCCTCCTTAATGCAATCTTTCCAGGAGCCTTCATATCTTGTTCCATCATTCCATTCACATTTGCCTTTGCCAGTCATCTTACCATTTATCCACTCCCCTTCATATTTCCATCCTTACTCAGTACTTACAAATACTCCCTAAATTAGTCAAATCTTATTTAATTACAAAGCCCTCCTAGAAACCATTCTGATAATCACCTTCAAAGAAATCCCCATTTGCAAATTTTCTAATGCCTCTTCCATTTGGAAAGCCATTCCTGAATTCTCCAATATAGATATCACCCTCTGTGAGTTTAAGCTGGCCTTTGCCATGCATCTTCCCTTTTACCCAGTAGCCTTTATACTTCTTCCCTGTTGGAGGCCACTCTTTTTCTCCATAACCATTTGGTTTGCCTTTTATAAAGGTTCCCTTAAAAACAGAGCCATCTGGTAAAAATAATTCTCCAGTCCCATTTATCTTCTTTCCTCTTGTTTACCCTTTGAAGATAGATCCATCCTTAAATTATATTTCCTAAAATTTTACCATATAATTTGGAAATAAATACTTGATAACTCAGGGGCTTTATGATTTTCTTTTTCTTAATTTATTTTTAACCTAATAGTTGCACAACCTTGCTTCCTCTTTCTTGAGTAGATTCTAATTACTTTTACCTAATAAGCATTACTTTGATTAAAATATTTTACCCCACAGCTGGCTTTTTTTAAGTCTAAGTAACTATTGTGTTTTCATTACTGACTTTACCTAGTACATGTTTTGGTTCTTTATCTGCAGCTTATTTATCTCTCTTTAATCTTAGAGTATTTTCACCTCCTCCAATACTTAGAGGTCTGCTTCTTTCAGCATCTTAATGCGTTGTAAAAGCACTGTTATTCTTTATATTAATGTTATTCTGTACTGAATCCTCATAAATTTATTAATAAGCTTTGCTGCGTCTACTATGATGACCTGATTCCTTTTAGATCTATGACCTAATTTCCTTTTACAATTGCATTTACTGATTGTTCTAGTAAATTTGATTCAACTTTTGCTTTTTGCTTTGAGGTTTTTTCTTTAGCTATTTCATATATTTGAGATTATTGTCTATATTTTATTGGTTCAGCTTTTGGTTTATGCTCAGAATACTATTAGGAATAAGCTCTTCTCTTGCAATAGAAGGATTTTCCAAATAATCTTAATCTAAAATTTCTGAAGCTTATTGTTGAAACCTCTAATTATTATCATGGCTACCTTCTATCTTCTAAGTAGTTTAGTTATATTAGCTGTACAAATCTTGATCTTTGATAATCTGATGATACTAGATTGCCTCATTAGTTTACACATCAACAGCAGAATTACTATTTTCTCCACCTTTATTAATCTTAGTTCTATTATCATGAGTGATATCTCCTGATGTGGAGTTCAATATTCTTATCCCATTTATTTCATCTAAGGGTTAACTTTCATCTTCTGCTTAGTTATCGAGATCCGCTTCGTCATCATCATCCTCCTCATCTTATTCTTCATCTTCTTAATCATCTTCTTCTTCACCCTGTGCCTCATGATCATTTCCCACTTATTGAACTTCGTCATCTTCTTCATCATAGTCTTATATCTATTGCATCATTTCATTCTAAGGAGGATCTACTGTGATAAGGCTGATTAGCTTTTCGCTCTAAATATTAATTGAGAAAAATATAAATTTTTACCTCAATCTCAACATTAAGACTATGATTAGTAAGGTTTTGATGCATAATTTAGTTTTATTATTGAGTAGCATAGAATTCTGACTCTAGATTTGAAGGAGTCTGCTTTGATACATTTTCTTGCTAGCTATTTCTATAATCTGAAGGATTTCTTTAATCTCTTTCTTGACTCTTTAGCTATTCTACTTGCTACTTTTGTGCTTTGATTACTATATCCTTCTAAATCAACAATTTATCAATGCTTTATTGCTACTTCTGCAACTGAATTTGCTGCTATTTTTGCTATACTTCTTAGTTGTTCTTTATTTCATTAATAAGTCTCTCCAGTTCTAATCTATCATCTTCGTATTACTTGTTAAACTCCTCCTTTTAGAGCCTCATATCCTCATCCTCTTCATCATCATCATCTTCTTCATCTTCTTGATCAAGATCTAAATTTCCTTCATTCTAGCTCATCTGAAAATATTATTCACCAGTTTAGAATTATTCTTATTATTCAATTTCCCCTTCATTATCCTATTGTTCTTACAAAAGAGATTAGTTCTGCATGTTAAATGTATTATATTACTCATCTGCTAAAACGAGCTCTGTATTAGTTTTAAGTGGGGATCTGTTCATCTCATCTTCAAGGGACACATTTGAATTAAGAGGTTTAGTTATTTTTTGTCTTGATGATTGATTGATTGGTTAAGTTTTAATATCACTTTGATATAATCCTTCTTTGAACTCTTCATCATCATCATCATCTTCATCAGATCCATCATTTTCTTGTTATTTGTTTAAATCATTGACTTGGTAGTTTTTATTCTAGGAATTTAATCCTAGCAACTAGAATCTTTTTTAAGACTAACTTTCCTAAAGGAGATGCTCATGTAGCCTATCATCCTGAGAAATTGAGATTCTTTATAAGTTGTGAGTTGAATTTTCTAGCATTAATTTATTTAAATTACAAATTATTTAACTTCAAATTAATGACCTAGATTCTATCTTGTGGGGTTTTGGGGTTTTGGGGTTTTGGGG